TATATTTTTGTTTTTTGCCAAGTGTGCACATACTTTTGAAACAAAGAAAAAATTTTTCTTTAATAAAAAATTGTGTTAGCAGCAACGCTGTTTTCTCAGAGAAAGTGTTCGTAGGTTACTGCACACATGGAATTGAATGGTGAAGGTCACAGGTTACAGAAAGCAATGGTATTTCCAAAAAAACAAAATGTTGGGTGTGCACATACTTTTGAAACACACTGTATCACTGCTTAACTCTAATGACCATACGCAAAAAACATGCAAGGCTCCAAGATTCGAAACGGGAATGTTTTGTGTCAGCTTCCATTGTCCTAGATCTTTGAAAAGGAGCCATGCTTTCGAACACTGCATTCAGCTCAACATGTCTAGATTGTTTTTACGACGCCGTTCTATCTTCATAAGGAAACTGTGGCACGGGTCCATGGCTCATTGTTAGCCGTGATTGACTCATAATACTGTAATCCTACTTTCTATAAAGCGCTTCGTCTGCCATCTGTCTGTCTGCCGTTCTGTCTTTCTGTATGTCTGTCACGAAAGTCCTTAGTTCCTTTAGATCTGCCTGGAGAGACTGGGTCAAGCGTGCGATGGGTGGGTCATGTCCCGAGAAGCATAAAGCACACATTAGCTTGGCGGAGCCCCGCTCACAGTGGGCGTGGCGTGCATCGAAATAAGCTGTACTGAGGACCATGGTTTCAAATTCAGTAACAAGACGGCTTCAAAACTGGGGTTTAAAGGTGGCTAGAGGTGTGCATTGGTAAGTTAGATCCAACTGGAGAGACCCAATCCCGATGGGCGGGAAGTTCTCCAAAAATGCAGTGCTTTATGAAAACATTTTGAAAAATCATAACTCCTGTCCCCGTGGACCTAGAAAGTTCAAACTTGGTAGGAGTACAGACGACAGGATGGGAGCACTTATGGTGGGTGGGGGGACCAGACTCCGCCCACAGGAGGCGGGGTTTAAGCGGAAACTCATATACTCATGAAGATATATAATGAAAATCAGCTCATGTGGCTCCATCCCTCATGGCTAGAGCCCCAAGTGCACGCGATAGCGTGCGTGGCTGCCTGGTAACAATATATTTCAGTATCTTCCAGCATGTTTATATCGCCTAGAACGATCTCGTAAAGCTAATTTAGAACAAGTTACCAGACGGCATGACTTTGGTTGAGATAGCTGACCACGGTCGAAGTCGAAGATAGTCTAGCGAAAAAGTTGAGGTAAAATCTTCACAGCAATTACAGCGCACATCTAGGTAAGAGCTAAGATTGATTCTCAAGCAGACTAAAGGCCTCGAGACGGACAGAGAATTTTGGATCCAGAAGCACATCTGATAAGGAGGGTGGATGCTGTGCCGAAAATATGTCGTTCAATCGAGGTTCAAATGGGTTCTGTTAGAAAAAAAAGGCAGTAAGAGTATCATATGGTGAATGAGTCCCAACGAAATTGAACAAACATGGTAACGAGTTAAAAATGACTAGAGGGGTTCAGATTCCACAAAGACAATATAACTGTTATCGATTAAATCGACTGATTTGTTGCTACACATGCATGAACGCTTGATCGTTTTGTTGGCATCCTTACTATATATAAAAAAGAGCGGTGTCTTAGACAAAATGTCTGAATTAGGTTTCATAGCAGCGTAGACGCCGAAAAAATGGGTAAAGGTGAGGGATGAAACGACAGGTGGAAAAAAGGAGACTCACCGGCGGTGGGCGGAGCAGGGTGGTACTTACCACATAACATCATAACTCTACTCACCGGAAGCGAGGAAGTCAGAGAAAAAACAAACGAAGTGAGCAAGGCCATATGCGTGCCGGGCATACGTAAATATGCCGAAGCCACGCCCACAGTGGCTGCGGGCATTCAAATGTTAGGTTCTTTCCGAAAAAAAAATCATAAACTTTTAAATGACGTTTTAGAACACGGGGAACAAGTGGTCAGGGGCTATAGAAGGTCCGTGGTACCAAATCCCTGAAGTTTGCGGAGTTTGCACCAAGGTGGGCGGGGCCAATACCAAAAACCACCTCTATTCAATAACGTTCTGGAACGCGAGAAAAAAATGACTAGAGGCTATGGAAGGTCTGTGGCTGAATCTCTGGATACAATGCCGGTTTTCGAGCGCGTATAAGAGGCCCAAGATGATTCGAATATATATATATATAATACATGGATAGCTTCTAAGCAAAGTGTGTACCTCCGAGAAAAATAACCTATCGATTCGATGTGAAAAATGTTTTTTTTTGTATACGGACGGATTGATGAGGAACAGCTCATCAACAAACTGGTTAGCAACCATCGATCACAGGGCAATCATGTTGCAGTAATGCAGTAATCATGTTCTCTTAATGAGTCACGTGAAAAAAGTTGAAGTGCATAAGATGTTGATCCTTCCGGCTGCGACTAGTTCTTTTAGGGATTGTTCTTTTGAAGGCACCGTTCACGATAATTTTATTTAATCCAGTTTATGATGAAAAATGGAAGACAAGATCGAAACTAGGGGGACTGAGGTGACGAAACTGCGTGCATCGGTGTTTCCAAAGTGAAAAAAGGCTTCGAAAAACCGTTCAAAAGGGGGCTGGACGAGAGTGAAACCAGAAAGGTGAAGAAGAGTGGGGCGTCAGGACGAGCTAAACAGTGTGTTTCACTGCGCGCGTGTGGGTCCTGGTGCGAATAACAGACAACGGTAAGCAAAAATTCATTCACTTATAAGCATAAATAAACAAAAAACTAGTAACAGCAAAAGTTGCTCGCCTTTTTCAGCCTCAAGGAGTAGGAAATTAAATAAGGGATCGCGGCAGCAAAAAGAAAAACAGAGGGAAAAAGAACGGGAGAAAAACATTGCCTCGTCACTCGGCGATTAGCTGATTGTGTGTGGGTCCTAGAACGAATACTAGCAATCTGTATTGTCTCGACTTTCGTCTAACGTGACACCGATCGAAGGGCGGGAAAGCGAACTACGGCAACAACGGAGCTTCCACTATGCCCTAAACGCCGAGATTCTGGGAGCGAGAGGATCCCTTCTACCACCCATGGGGGGCGTTGAGTATTCCTGAAGGAACAACTCAGTAACCTTTTTATCGTGAACGTTGCCTTTAAGTTAGCCAGCTCGATTTTAACTCAGAAACGTAGTGGCGTTTTGAATGCGTATGTTGCCTACACGATGACTTGTAGTGGCCAGCCAATCAATAAGTCAGTGCTTTCATCCTCCTAGACGAGTCTGTTACCAAAACAGACCATGGAGAACCGCCATGAACGGTTTTCTCTGAGCCCCGGCGTGGTGCAATTGTTGATTTCTCTGGTTGAACACTAAACGAGGGAGATAAAATTCTTCATCGGTGGCCGACGTTTCGGCGGGATCGCCTCCTTCAAAGAATGGGAATATCGTAGCGATTTATTACTACCCGGCCAACGCCTCAACTACCCTACTGAACTCCGAGACATCAGAAGTCATCACGTAAGATGGACCACTTACCTCGAGATCACTTACAAGCCGGCAGTGGTACGGTAAGCACTTCGGACTGGATGTGATTCAGACTTACCGGTGGAAGACCAACCTCAAATATGACCTTAGTTCGGGTGAATATGAGGCATTCTTTCCTCAGGCTCATTTCTGGCCCAGTAGCCTGGATATAGAATGCCTGGGGGTTTTCCGTGCGGGTTTTACGATTCTCGCGCCAAGACCTTGGCCGAAATCTCAAATTCGGC